GCAAGCAGAGACTGGAGCACAGAACAAAGAACATTGCTCTTCGCTACTTCCTTGCACGTGAGCTGCAGCAGCGTGGTCAGCTGCGCCTTGCTTACGTGGCCTCTCGGGCCAACACTGTTGATGTCTTCACCAAGGCCCTTGGGTTTTGTGATTATCACCGTTTCTGCACTGCTCTTGGGCTTGTGCCCACTCTACCTCACCTGTTAGTTGATTGACTTGCTCTTGCTAGGTTGTGATCTGTATACTGCCTTGCTATTATATACCTTTGCATGTGAACTGGCCTTGTGGCCACTTGCTTGTGCTCAGAATGCGTGGTGATTTTGTGATCCACCCTGAGCTGTGTTCTCTTCTGCAGACTGGTCTTGTGACCGCTTGTTGTGTTTGTTGTCCCCTACTTTGCATATGCGGGTGTGTCGGATTACAATTGTATCTCTAGGCTACAATAGGGTCACTCCTTAGTGAGTACAACACTTTAGGGTTAGGTTTCCCCTACTTGTACTCACCTCTTGACTAGTTCAATCATTCGTTCCTAGTTCTATTCTTGACAGTTTTGTCCGGGGGAATACGGTAAGACCCTCCTTTTGTATACAGTAGTTATTATTGCTCTTGTGCATAAGCTTTTACTAGCAAGAATTCGAATTCTGAGACGTTTCTATGTCGTACTCGAATTCTTACACATATCTGATATGGCGCACAAGCAAAATTTGCAGGCGAAATCGTAACGTATATAAGACCCCCCACCCCAAATTGAGTCGTACTCCCTAAAATATCAAATTGATAACCGATAAATAAGTGTACCCTGTTAGAGGTCCACTGTTGATCCTTGATTGATCCTAGGAAAGGGTTACAGGCACGTTGGCATGGGGGGTTATGGGCGCACTTACCCGCTACACAAACAAGCCCTTTTATCCCAATGGTCTAGTGGTTGGGATTCTGACATACCCCGAGTCTTAAATATTTGCTGCCGCCATAATGTCCACCAAAGTATATTATCAAGCATTTGTAGTGTGAAGCGCAGCTGGCTGTAGCGCATCAATGCAACTGTAAATTAGTATTCGCCAAACATATAAGAAGGTTAGAGGCCATTTGGCCTCCACCCACGTCTTCATTTCGAAACTTTGCAATTCCTCTCCCCACCCACCCACCCTGACATATGTTAGAATAAGGACCTTGGATATGATCGGAATGCTTTGGAAGAGTTTGGTAGTAGAAGTCTTGTTGTAAAAACTCAGATCATAGTGAATGTAGATGACCAAGTTGATTAAAACAAAGATTACACACATAATAAATAGTTCTAGCTAGCCATATACTCTGAGGGGTACATTCAAGCCCTCAAAAGTCAGACTTTTTTCTCTGATTTGCAAGAAAAACTTTGAAAATTCAGCTTTTTTATTCAGTGAACTCTGTTAAAATCAGAGATTTTAGGGCCCCAACTCTGTAATTTTCAGAGAAATGTTAAGGCTAAATCTGAAATTTCAGAGTTTTCCGGGAGTGTACTTTGATCATTCAAAGTACAAACGCGTTCTTGACTGGTGATTCGGACTTCACGGGTCACAGCAGATTTGCACTATCAACGCAAAATCGCCTTGACACAGCAAATCCATCTCAGATATATATGATATAGCCTATGTAGGCTGTAGTGGGGTAGACAATAGGGGGTACAGCTTTTCTAGGGTTTCATACTTGTACCTTTCACATTCCTAGTCAATTCATTCCTCGTTCTTATTCTCACATGGTATTAGAGCAGAATCGTTCCTAGGGCCCACCGAACGTTCCGCCCTTTTTTTTTACTGCCCATGCGGCCGCGCTGCCCCTGCAGCCCGCGTTCTACCCCTGCGACCGTGCTGCCACTGCAGCCGTGTCTACCCCTGCAGCCGTGCCTACCCCTGCAGCCGTGCCTGCCTCTACAGCCCGTGGGAGCTGCCCCTGCACCCCGCGCGCCGCCCTCCCGAGCAGCTATGCTTGCCCCTGCAGCCGTGCCTGCCCCTGCAGCCCGTGGGCGCTGCCTCTGCAGCCGTGCCTGCCCTTGCAGCCCGTGGGCGCTGCCTCTGCAGCCGTGCGTGCCCCTGCAGCCCGTGGGCGGTGCCCCTGCAGCCGTGCCTGCCTCTGCAGCCCGTTGGAACTGCCTCTGCAGCCCGCGCGTCGCCCTAAACTGTGCTCGTCGCGACGCCCCTTCAGGATCCGCGCGGCGTCCCCCCCCCCCCCCCCCCCCCCCCCCCCCCCTGCTCATCGCGGTGCCCCCTGGGCGTCGTCCCTGCTCGTCACGGCGCCCCCGGGGCGTCGTCCCTGCTCGTCGCGGCGCCCCCTGGGCGTCGTCCCTGCTCGTCGCGACGCCCCCGGGGGCGCCGTCCCGGCTCGTCGCGACGCCCAAAGCTTGTTGGCTGCCACATGTACCTGATGACCTGCACTCGACCTTACCTGGCATACCCTCTTAGCATCTTGGCATGCTATGTTGCTCCTGGGAGACACCGACCAGAGCACATGGCTACAGCGAAGAGGGTGTTGTACTACCTGTGCAGTACATCGGGTATGGGGCTCGTGCTTGGAGGACGGGCTCAAGTTGTCCTCACTGTTCTCCTCCAGTTCTGTACGTCGACAACAAGGCAATGCTGGCCTTGTCTCAGGAGCACAGACAGGAGCACAGAACGAAGCACATTGCTCTGTGCTACTTCTTTGCTCGAGAGTTGCAGCAGCGTGGTCAGCTTCGTCTTGTTTACGTGGCCTCTCAAGCCAACACTGCTGATATCTTCACTAAGGCACTTCAGCCTTGTAATCATCAGCGTTTCTGTACTATGCTAGGTCTTGTGCCTACTGGGCCTGACTTGCTTACCTCTTGACTTTGCTTGTACTGTGATCTATGTGTCCATGCTCGTGCATGCTTACCTTTGTTGGGTTGTGATCACTATCTTGCTTGTTCACTTTGATTTATAATCCTACAAGTGAACCAGCCTTGTGGCCTTTGAACCTGCGCTCGGAATGTGTGGTGACATTATGATCCACCCTGAGCTTGCTTTGCTTCGCTTGACTGGTCATGTGACCCCTTGTTCTCCCCCACTTTGCCTCTGGGGGTGTGTCAGACATATATGATATAGCCTATGTAGGCTGTAGTGGGGTAGACAATAGGGGGTACAAGTTTTCTAGGGTTTCATACTTGTACCTTTCACATTCCTAGTCAATTCATTCGTCGTTCTTATTCTCACAATCCGCGCCTTACAGCACAAAAGTTTTGACCAATCATAGCAAAATCGTCCTGACACCACAGATTTGCGTCGTCAGAGCACAACAATCTCGCCCAATCACCAAAAATTCGTGTCTGACATTGCTGATTCCCCTTTCAGCCCACAAGATTTGCCATCCTTGTCACAAAAACTCGCCCAATCACCACAAGAGTCGCCCAATCACCACAAGATTCGCCCAATCACCACAAGATTCGCCTAATTACCACAAAATTCGCGTTTGACATTGCAGGTTTGCCGTCGGAGCATGTTCACCGGAATTCCCCTCAGTCAGGGATGTTACAATATCAGATGAATGAAACATTGAATACATTTTTTATGAACATTGAATACATTGATTTCGAATGTTCAGACTTTTTTTTATACAATCTGAAGTTTCAGCCTTTTTTTTATACCAACTCTGAGAGTTTCAGACGAAAACAGTGTATAAGTCTGACGAATTAGATTGGCCAAAAACGAATCTGAGGGTCTGGGTACATTCCCTTATTCGAACTGCTTTTACATGCATTTCTGCAGTGACTCTGATTGTTGCACTTCTTTCTTGTTACCGAGTCGCTGCATGTAACCGGTACATACGGTTACATCTGTTGCCATTCCTCGATGATAAGTCAATCGTCGGTCCAGATACCGTATTCTCCCGGACATAACACCCTAGGGTATAGCTAAAAATATAGGGAAAAAATGGGGGGGGGGGGGGGGGGGGGGGGGGGGGGGGGGGGGGGGGGGGGGGGGTCTCCTCATAGGAAAAAAATACATAATACCTGGGTCTTTACATATGGCATATTTTAGTGTTAGTGTTTTTTAAATTAGTCAATGTGGGTGTTTTGCTGGTCGTTTTAGCATCACTGCCTGAGGCGCGAATGTCAGTTTCGGCCTCGAACTTCATCGCCCTCACGAAAATGCCATGTGACACCTCTCTTGCCACTTGCAACGGAAGATTCACCTGCACGTGGAAACAGAGAAATAGTGGGAGGGGGCAAATCTCGGCAGATTGCCTATGAATGTACCGCGAAATTCCATTGAGGGAGAAATTCACACGATATTCTTCCGTATTGCAGCTACTCGTTAACGACTATAATAATGAATCCGTAAGAAAAGGGGGGTGTTATAGAACATCAGCCAAAAAGGGGGGTATAGTAGAAACGAGGTCTATCATATCACCCACCCCGCACAAGCTACCCGGGGGTGTACAATTATGGGGGGGTGTTTTGTCCGGGAGTATACGGTAGTCAACAGTCGCGACCGTTGACTTTACGACTGTTGACCTTCCTGCCTTTGATGTAGGCTGATCCGACACAGCTGGTAGCGCTGCTTCGATAGGGGCGGGCGGGCGCTATATTGCTGCACCTACGGGAATGCTAAGTGTAATTCCCTTCTTACTCCAACAACTTGTACATGTATGATTTATAGTTGGACAAGAATGTTGTAATCACTGCAATTCTAATCAAGCACGTTCCATGGTAATGAAGCACGTTGCCATTGCAAGAACAGAAAGTAAGCTTTCTCAATGTTTTTTTCTTCTTCTTCTTGAAACGGCATCCCTGTTGCGTACGTATGAATAGCATGTGCCGGTTGCAATCAGTTACCCAATCAACGCATGATCTCTCCACATATCCATTCCTGAGCACAGTACTCCAGGCGTTTCAGGAAACAGGTGAAATGCATTGGAAGCGATGGTGGCACAACTCAGGTGGCCTGGCAGCTGTATGGAGGACTTGGTGCAGACTGAAGTGTTGCAGGGGGGGCGTTGAGGGGCGGAGTGGGCTAGAGGCAGCAGAGGGCGAAGTGCAGGAGGGGGATGAAGGCGTTGTCGAGCTGGTGGGTGAACGCCTCCAGCAGCGCAGAGAAGACGCACGCCACCACGCTCGCTGTCATGGGCGCCTGCTGGGGGGACAGGGTGATGGGTTTGGTGCTGTGGGGGGTGAGACAAGGACCAGTGCTGTGAGCAGCAAGGCAACAGAGAGAGAGAGAGAGAGAGAGAGAGAGAGAGAGAGAGAGAGAGAGAGAGAGAGAGAGAGAGAGAGAGAGAGAGAGAGAGAGAGAGCGAGGCGTGCGTACCTGTAGTAGATTGGAAAACAGCGATTGGTGAAGCGCAGCAGCAGAGGCATCATGGACGGGTGCAAGGGGAGGCGGCAGCAGAGAGAGCAGCAGCAGCGAGGCAGCGAGCATGGCAGCAGCAGCGGCGGCGGTGCCCTGCCACGACTTGGGCGAGTCTGATGCCACTCGCTGCCGCCCCCACCGCACCCCCACCACCGACGCCTGCACGCAGGGCAGGGCCGTGGGAAGGGGTGTGGTTCAGAAGTGTGGGATGGGGAGAGCGATGGGAAGGGCACAACAAGAGCAGGAAGGGACAAGTGGAGGAAGGGGTGTGAGGTGCATGCAGCAGAAGAGCAGAGGGGAGCGGGAAGGGAAGGCTGGAATGACGTGTGTGCAAAGAGTGCAGGCAATCAAAGCAACCGAGGGCAGTGGAGTCACACACAGCAACGCCCCACTCCCCCCTGCTCCACCCCTACCCCGCCCCTGCCCCACACCCCCATGCCCCCCTCCCTACTGGACTGGTCCTCTCAGTGCCACGCTCCCCCTGCCGTGACCCACCATGGTATCCCCGATGCCGACACTCAGCAACCCCGCAAAGGGGGCCACGTGGCAGGCTTGGATTGGCGAGTGCGAGGAAGAGAGGAAGGCGGGCGGGGTGAGGGAGAGAGGCAGCATGCAGGCGAGCAGCAGAGAGAAGTGGCTGCAGACAGGAAGGAGGAGCGGGGAAAGGGGGAGGGCGGAGGTGGAGAGGGGAAGGGGGAGGGGGAGGGTGGAGGGAGTAGGGAGGGGGGAGGGGGGGTGAGGAGAGGGGAGGATGTGCATGTGACTGTGAAACAGAGAGAAACAATGACGAGAAGAGAACGGGAAGAAAGGGGCGGACGAGGATGAGGGTGTGAGAGGGAGCAATGAGTGGTGGGTGGGGAAGGGAGGGCAGGAGGAGGAAAGGATGAGGAGGCAGACGGGGTTGGCCTTTGGGGGGTGAGAAAATGTTGCCAACGAGCCTTGAAGAGCCCAATGAGCCAAGAAGAGCCCAATGAGCCTAGAAGAGCCCAATGAGCCTAGAAGAGCCCAATGAGCCTAGAAGAGCCCAATGAGCCTAGAAGAGCCCAATGAGCCTAGAAGAGCCCAATGAGCCTAGAAGAGCCCAATGAGCCTAGAAGAGCCCAATGAGCCTAGAAGAGCCCAATGAGCCTAGAAGAGCCCAATGAGCCTAGAAGAGCCCAATGAGCCTAGAAGAGCCCAATGAGCCTAGAAGAGCCCAATGAGCCTAGAAGAGCCCATGGCTTCTGATTGAACTGCTGGAATGGAGGCACCGCAAGGCAGCCACACGAAGAAGACCAGAGCCGAATGCACAACACCAAAGCTAGACTCACCTGATACTAACCTAAGGAATATAGGGGGTTAGGGCTGTCATCACCTGAGAACGAGCGGGCCGGCGTCGCGGGTGTCAGTGAAGGGGCGAAGGAAGGCCTCCAGGGGGGCGGAGAGTGGCGGAATGCCCTGGTACTGCCATGGCGGGACAGGGGGGATGGCAGTAGGGGGGATGACAGCAGGGGGGATGACAGCAGGGGGGATGACAGCAGGGGGGATGACAGGACCACGAAGCATGGCCATGGATGTACTGTTATGGTGCTAAGTAGTTGTCAGTCTTCTTACACAGATTCTCATCCTAGACAGTTTGAGATGTGGAAAACCCCACAAACAAACTTGGCGAAAATCCCATTGCAAACTGGTAGGGTTGAGCAAGGGTCGACCCTGGTTTCAAGGCGACTCACTCTCATGGCTTCAAGGCGACTCACTCTCATGGCTTCAAGGCGACTCACTCTCATGGCTTCAAGGCGACTCACTCTCATGGCTTCCAAGAGGAGGAAGAAGGCAAAGCACACGCCGAAGGCAAGGCGGAGGAAGGCGGGCTGGAGGAGCGGGTCGAACGGGAGAGGGGACAGATGAAAGGGAGAGGGGAGGGACGAAAAGGAGAGGGGGGGGACGAAAGGGAGAGGGGAAGGGCGAAAAGGGGCAAGGAGTGGGGTGGAGGAGATGAGGAGCAGGGAGATTCTATGAAGTAGATTATGCCAGGTGTGCGAATGAGATAGAAGTTTCTTGGACAGCTTGACAACATTGCAATAAAGATTCAAGCATTCCGGATTGACGCCTTCTGTCCCCACTCCACACTCCCTCTCGTCCCACCATCCGCTTCCTTGCAACGCTCTCAACAATCTCTCTCCCTGCAGCAGCATGGCTTATGGGTCACCTGCAGCAGCATGCATCACCTGCAGCAGCATGGGCGGCAGGAACATGGCGAGGGCGAGCACGTGGAAGGCCTTGCGCAGCACCACGTGGGGCACCACGTGGGGCACTGGGGGGACCGCCGCCGGGGGGGGGGACAGCGGGGCCAGTGGATGGCGTGGGCGAACCAGCGGACAGGGGGGGGGCAAAGGGGATGGTGTGGGGTGTGCGCGTGGAGGAAGGGGCAAGGCGGGAGAGAGGCGGCAGGAGGAGGAGGAGCAGCAGCCAGTAGAGCCAGAGCGGCCCGTTGGCCATCACCTCCCGCAGCCACCTGCAGTGAGTGGTGGCGTGGGGGGGGGAGGAGGGGGAGAGGAGAGATCTAGGTCAGCACAGTGAATGCAGGCGTGCAGTGAAGAGTGAGACGGAGGAAGGAGGGAGGGAAGCAGAGGTAAGGAGGAACAGGGGGGGGAGGGCAGTGGAGATAAGGAGGAGCAGCAAGAAGAGGGCTGTGGGCAGGAGCGATGGCTGGGTGGTGACGATGCGAGGAGCCAAGGCGAGACATGCAGGAGGTGGTGGCGAGACATGCAGGAGGTGATGGCGAGACATGCAGGTGGTGATGGCGAGACATGCAGGTGGTGATGGCGAGACATGCAGGTGGTGAGGGCGAGGCAGGATAGCGGCAGGCGTGGCAGTGAGGAGGATGAGAGCGGAAGAAAGAAAAACAAGTGGTGGTGAGGGGCAGACCAGAGCATAGGGGGCGGTGGCACGTGGGCGGCGTGGGCGGCGAGGGCGAGCCAGAGCGGCACGAGGTGGCCCAGCAGCAGCAGCAGCGCGGCGTAGAATGCTGCCGTGCGCCCCCCGTGCTGGGCTGGGCGCGTGGCGCTTGCAGGCGCGGAGACGGTGGAGGAGAGCAGAGGCAGCAGCAGCATCGCCAGCACGAGGGCCTAAAGGGTGCAGGGGGGTGGCAACACAAGGTATTGGGGTGTGCTGGGTGGTGGATGATGCAGTGGTGGATGATGCAGTGGTGACAGAAGCAGGTGAATCAACAAGGCAGTTCAATCCGCAACAGCGCGTGCTGGCGTCACCTGCACACTGGCGTCACCTGCACACTGGCATCACCTGCACACTGGCATCACCTGCACACTGGCATCACCTGCACACTAGCATCACCTGCACACTGGCATCACCTGCACACTGGCATCACCTGCACACTGGCATCACCTGCACACTGGCATCACCTGCACACTGGCATCACCTGCACACTGGCATCACCTGCACACTGGCATCACCTGCACACTGGCATCACCTGCACACTGGCATCACCTGCACACTGGCATCACCTGCACACTGGCGTCGGCGCGCACGAGAAAGAGGTCGATGGAGGACGATGAGGGTGGCGCGGGGGGGAGAAGGCCGAGCGGCAGCACATGGGATGGCAGAAGCTGCAGCGCGTGGGTAGTTGGGTTGACTCGTGGGTGTTGGGAGGTTGGGGGGTGGGGGAGTGGGGGAGTTGATGGATAAGATAGGAAGACAGATGAGCGATGTGGATGGGAAGGGTGTGAAAGGTGATGTGGAATTATGATGTGATGAACCAATGTTGGACGGCACCCACGTCAACACGAGAGGCAAGGCGATGTGCACCTTCGTGCTGTGCACCTCGGCCTTCGTGCTGTGCACCTCGGCCTTCGTGCTGTGCACCTCGGCCTGCGGACTTTTTTTAAGCGCCTGGGCCTGCGTATTCACTGCGTAGCGTACCAGATCCTTCCCGAGAAGCGTTCGGCATTTAAACGCTAGCTGATAGATGCTAGCGTATATTCTAACTTAGGCGTGAAGAATGGTGACATGAGGCATGGCGATGGTGACATGAGGCATGGCGATGGTGACATGGGGCATTGCGATGGTGACACGAGGCATGGCGATGGTGACACGAGGCATGGCGATGGTGACACGAGGCATGGCGATGGTGACATGAGGCATGGCAATGGTGACACGCATGAGGCATGGCGATGGGGACATGAGGCATGGCGATGGTGACACGAGGCATCGCGATAGTAACAGGAGGCATGGCGATGGTGACACGAGGCATGGCGATGGTGACATGAGGCATGGCGATGGTGACACGAGGCATCGCGATGGTGACATGAGGCATGGCGATGGTGACATGAGGCATGGCGATGGTGACACGAGGCATGGCGATGGTGACACGAGGCATGGCGATGGTGACACGAGGCATGGCGATGGTGACACGAGGCATGGCGATGGTGACATGAGGCATGGGGATGGTGACACGAGGCATGGCGATGGTGACATGAGGCATGGCGATGGTGACACGAGGCATGGCGATGGTGACACGAGGCATGGCGATGGTGACACGAGGCATGGCGATGGTGACACGAGGCATGGCGATGGTGACGAGAGCGTGCCTGAGAGCAGGTGATTGCGATGGCATGCACGGCATACAGCGACGTGCCCTGCGCCAGCAGTAACGCCTCGCCTGGCAGCATCACAGCAGCAGGGGCAGAGGCAAAGTGAGAATCTCATGGGTGTGAGTCGCTTGTTTAGAACAGAGTAAGGAATCCACTCAGCACTTGTGCTACTTGGGATACAGCACGAATGCATGCATGGGTGAACGCAGCTGCCAAAGCACATCGAGCCTACCCACCCACCTGCTGCCCCCCACCCACCTACCACGTGCTGCTCAGCTGCTCTCACCAGGAGTGAAGCTGCGAGGAAACTTCAGCAGGAAGGTGCGCAGCAGCAGGGCGCAGAGCAGCAGGTGCAGCGCCGCCACGCTGGCTGGGTGGCGTGGGGTAGGGGCGAAGAGGGGGGCGGCAGAGGGGAAGGGCAAGCGGAGAGAGCAGGGGAGGGTGCAGGGGAGGGGAGGGCGAACGGTCCTGATTGGGCATAGAGATAAGGGGGGAGAGCGAGGCGTAAGCAGGTGGCATGAGAAGGGAGGGTGAGAAGGGAGGGTGAGAAGGGAGGGTGAGAAGGGAGGGTGAGAGGGGAGGGTGAGAAGGGAAGGTGAGGAGGGAGGGTGAGAAGGGAGGGTGAGTGGGAGGGGAGGTTGAGAAGGGAAGGTGAGAGGGGAGCAGAGAGCAGCATGTTCGGAAGGGCAGAGAAAGCCACCTCAACCCGCCCCCGAGCATTCCATCTGCACCTCTACCTCACCTGCTGCCATCCGCCATGCCACGTCAGCATGGGCATGGCAGAGCAGCAGCACGGCAGCAGCACCGGCGGCCAGCCACGCGCCGAAGAAGCGCCGCTCGAACGCCCCCACGCCCGCATCCATGCGCCCCCCGTCGCTGCCCTCCTCGCGTCCCCCGCCCCTCCTTCTGCCCCCTGCATGCCCTCTCCTGCCCCCCTCCTCCCCCCCTCCACTGTCCTCGGCTGTCCCTCCCTTGGCTGCCGCCTGCTCGAGTGCTGCTCGGCGCAGCGCAGGGTGGCCAGCAGCGGCTGCCGTGCCGGCCACTGCAGCCAGCGAGGTCGCCAAGGACGCGTGCAGCAGCACCAGCAGCCAGGGGGGGAACGAGGGAGGAGTAGAAAGCGGTGCAGAGCGGTGCAGGGCGCAGACAGCGGCAATGGCAGCGGAGGGCGTGATGGCAGCGAGGTGCAGCCCCGGCGAGGATGCGCCCAGCCTGGTGGGGCCGCGGCGAGCAGGGGAGGGCAGCGAGGGGTGGTGAGTGCGCGGCAGGGATGGTCGTGGCAGGGATGGTCGTGGCAGGGATGGTCGTGGCAGGGATGGTCGTGGCAGGGATGGTCGTGGAGGGATGGTGGTACAAGCGGTGGAGGGGCAAAGAGGGGGCCAGGCAAGTGAGGAGGAAGACGATATGATCCCCATCCTACCCCACCCCACCCTCCCATTCCCCACCTGGGCTGCAGCACGTGGAAGGCCGCTCCCCAGCCGCGGCACTCAGCGCCCACAGCGGCGGCCCACACAGCCGCCATGGCCGCCACAGTGCCGCCTGGCAGCACTCCCCGCAGCGCCACCCGCGCCACCACCCACGCCGCCGCCCCCACCAGCACCACGCTCTCGCGGGCGCCCGCCGTCTCCAGCCCCGCTAGCCCCCGTGATGCCCCGCGCCCGCTGCCGCGCCCGTCCCCCTCTTCCCCCACACCTCGCATCTTCCCTCGCCAACCCCCCTCGCCCTCTCCCATCGCCCTTTCCCGCCCGCCCCCCCCTCCCGTCCCGCCCCCTCCTTGCGATCGGCCCATGCCCCCACCCGCGCTCGCACCCTCGCCCCGTGTTCTCATCACCCCCTCACTCCTCCCATCGCCCGCGCGAGGTCGCTGCGACGCCATCGCCAATGAACGAGGCTGCGCGGGGAAAGAGGGCGAGAATTCCAGTGGGCGAAGCGAGCGATGGCGACACCAGCAGCAGCTATCGCGAATTCGACGCACGCCGCGATCCGCAACGAGGCGAGCGGCACCAGCCGCGACGACCGCGGAGGCCAGCTCCTCGCTACTGACGTCACAAAATAATGGGCTAGAAACAAACCTAAAGCATTTCCAGCATCATTGCTGGAGGACTACCTTGCGTAATCCCCGAAATGTGTGACAATGTCAGAGTTGATTGTATCAGGATTCCACGCTAATCGGTTGTCGCGTGCAATGTGGCGGTAGCGTGAGAGCGTTGTTTAGAAAGTTAGGTCGTCTCTCCAGCAAGTGTCAAGAGGGGCTAGTGTCATGACACCAACTCGAAAACACATGGAGGACTATCCCTCCTGGTGTCAGCTGAACCAACCAATGAGATCGCGGGAAATCGTCCAATGTGCCCAACATTGACACCAGGCTGGAGCCGCGCTCACACGCGGCTCCACTTGGTGTCAACCGTAAACAACGCTTGACACCAAGCCTTTCTTGACACTTGCTGGAGAGACGACCTTAGTACAACATATTTCAAGGCGACTCTTCTTCAGAGCGTTGTTTAAAAAAAAAATCAACGCATAGCCCGTTTGAAAATATACTTGAAAGCACATCCCTCATATTCCACATAAGCTGATAAGAAAAAGGGGGGACAAAGCGCTGTCTCCGTGTTGCATTTCATGCTACATATGTCACGCGATTGTCAAAGGACAGGCGCACACACATGCGCCTTAGCTGCAGCGTCAACATCCACATTATCATCGTTTCCGACGCTACAAGAAACAGGTGGCGTACGGGGCAAAACTGTCAAATATTATAGCCTGTAGTGGGTTGGGCTATATGGGGTACAACTAGTTGGGGTTAGGTGATGTACCCCAATCCTGTCAACACAACGCATTCCGCTGTAGTTCTCATTCTGACATGGTATCAGCAGTAGGTTAGCACTCCTAGTCCTAGGCCCGCCCTTCCCTACCACTAGGGTTACCACTGCACCCTGCCAGCCCGCCAGCGCCCTACCCCACGCCCCAGCCGGCGCGCCCCTCCCCTCCCCGCCCTTAGCCAGCGCGCCCGCCAGCCAGCCAGCGCGCCAGCCAGGCAGCGCACCAGCAGCCTGCGCGCCAGCCAGCCAGCGCGCCAGCAGCCTGCACGCCAGCCAGCCAACGCGCCAGCCCGCCAGCGCGCCAGCCAGCCAGCGCGCCAGCCCGCCAGCGCGCCAGCCAGCCAGCGCGCCAGCGCGCCAGCCAGCCAGCGCGCCAGCCAGCCCGCCAGCGCGCCCGCCAGCGAGCGCACCAGCGAGCCCGCCGGCTCGCCTGCCAGCGCGCCCGCCAGCGAGCTCGCCAGCGCGCCCGCCAGCACGCACGCCAGCGCGCCCGCTAGCGCGCCCGCCAGCGCGCCACGCCAGCGGGCCCCGCCAGCGCGCACGCCAGCGCGCCGCGCCCGCCAGCGCGCGCCCTGCTTAGCCGCCCGCCAGCGCGCCGCGCCCGCGCGCCACGCCAGCCAGCGCGCCGCGCCGGAGCGCGCCCCGCCAGCGCGCGCCCCGCCGCCCCGCGCCCAGCCAGTGCGCGCCCCGCCTGCGCGCACCCGCCTCGCACTCACCTCCCTCTCCTCCTCCTCTCGCGGCTGGCGGCCGCTATCACTTGTCCTCGCCCCTCATGGCGACGTCTCGCGTGCTCCGTTTCGACCCTGAGGGGCGTGCGATCGACTTTAGTACCTGGCTGACGCAGGCCCAGCGCCACCTTAGGAGCCAGCGCCAGGATGGCGTGCACCTGTTTGCGCATGCGTCCGGTGCTCTGCCCGCCGCGCCGCAGCCTTCACCGCTGCCCACTACCCCACCGCCTACTTCCGAGCAGGAGGCTGAGTACCAGCGCCGATTCCTCGCTCGTGACGTGTGGGAGTCTCGTGACGCTGCTGCCTGCCTCGCCCTGACCGACCTTCTCCCGCCGACTGAGGCTGTCCACTTCACTTAGGTCGAGTCTGCTGCAGACCTTTACACTGCTATTGTTGCTCGCTACTCCACTCCCTCCTCTGCCTCCCTCAGCCGCCTCCTCGTCCCCTTTATCTACCCTGACCTCGCCTCCTTTGAGACTGTTGCTGACCTCGCTACCCACCTACGCTCCCTTGAAGCTCGCTTCAAGGCCGCTTGCACTGAGGAACAGCTTGCCCTTGCACCCCCCCCCATGTGGCTCACTATTCACTGGTTAGTCACTCGCCTCCTTGACCGTCTAGCCACAGCCCGCGACGCGCTTCTCCTGAAGCACCCCACTGAGCTTACTATCGATCTTCTTGAGACCGCTCTCTCGAAGATCGAGAGTAACCTCATCGCTGTTGCCTCCGCCTCTTCCGCGCCTCCTCTTCGTCTCTTTGAGGGGTGTGCGGTACCACAGCTTCCCACCTTCACTGCCTCGCTTGCCACTGCCGCGTCTTCTGCCTCTGAGGAGAAGGCGGCCGTTTCTGTCTCTGGCGGACAGAAACGTGGCAAGTCCGGCAAGAAGGGAGGGAAGGGCGGCGGGGGTTCTGGGGGTGTTGCGGGTGGCGGCGGTGGTGGTAGTACTAGTGGCGGGGGTGGCGACGGGGGTGACTCGGGACCTGACGGCTCTCCTCTAGACGGTGGTGAGGGGTTTTCGCAGCAGCAGCAGCAGACTCCTCCGCAGCTGCCACCGCCTAGACAGCAGCAGCGGCAGGGACAGCAGCAGCAGCGCCAGGGCCAACAGCAGCGTCCGCCTCAGCAGCAGCCCCAGCAATGGGGCACTCTGCAGCAGTGGGGCACTCAGCAGCAGTGGGGCCCTTCGCAGCAGTGGGCCCCCCCGCAGCAGTGGAGACCTACGGGCCCCCCGAGCACTGGGCGCAGTGGTGCCCCTTCTAGTCGGGGACCCCGCTCGGCCGGCCGCGACGTTGGTCCCTGTGAGTACTGGATCCTGACGGGTCCGCGCAGGGGCACGTACTGCGGCCGCCCTGACCACTCTGCTGCACACTGCTTCAGCCGTCTTGACGACCTGTACGTCCTGCACCACGGTCCCTCCGCTCCCCCGCCACCGCGCTGGGGACCACTCCTTGCTCGTGGTGTTGCTGTGTTTGATATGTCTATGGATGATGCTAGGTCTTATGCCATGTATGCTGATGTTGACTATAGTGCTGTCGGATCTGTTTACTTGCCTGTACCTAGCGTAGGATCTTTGCCTGTTGCTAGAGTAGGTGCTGGTGTAGGATCCTGTCTAGCTACTAGTACAGGTGCTCCCTCGGCGGACGCGTCGCTCTCCTTCACACTGGACTCCGGAGCGACGCAGTGCTTCTTCCGCGACAGCACGACTCTTACTCCACTCTCGGCGCCGGTTTCTGTAGCACTGGCTGATCCCTCTTCGGGACTGGTCATTGCGACTCACACCACTACCCTCCCGTGCCCAGCTGCCCCTTCCGGTTCTCTGACCGGCCTCCACGTTCCTACTTTCTCTAGGAACCTGGTTGGTGTGGCTCCTCTGGCGAGACAGCACGTCGGGGTCTGGTTTGAGCCTTCGGGTGACACTGCAGTCTGTGTGGACGGTGACACGTACGCCCCTCTGGCCACTTTTCGTCAGGAGCTGGGCTCTGGTATGTACACCCTCCACACCGACACCCGTCCGGTTCCCCCGTCCCACCAGGTAGCCAGGTCCAGTCAGGTAGCTGTGCCAGGTCTAGTGGCTGCGTCGTGCTCGTGTCGGTCGCTGTCCCACCCTGCCCTCCTCTGGCACCACCGCCTTGGTCACCCGTCCCTCTCTCGTCTCCGCGCTATGTCCAGTCAGCGTCTTGTCTTAGGCCTCCCCCGCGACCTCCCGCCGCTCCCGCCGTCCCCCGCTCCTCCGTGCGGTCCTTGTGTCCAGGGTCGGCTGCGCGCCACTCCTCACTCCTCCTCCCTTCGTCCAGCCTCCGAGCCCTTTGAGACACTCCACTTAGACGTCTGGGGCCCCGCTCCACGGCTTGGACCAGAGCGAGAGAGCTTCTTCCTAGTGGTCGTTGACGACTACAATCGGTACACCACCGTGTTCCCTTTGGCGAAGAAGTCCGACGTGACTTCTACGCTGATCCGGTGGCTGCTCGCCACCGAGAGTACTCGTCGTCGTCGTGTCAGTTGTCTCCACTTCGACCGTGGGGGTGAGTTTCGCTCCGGCATTCTCGCCAGATTCTGTGCTGAGCAGGGCATCACCCAGTCCTGGACTCTTCCAGACTCTCCACAGCAGAATGGGGTTGCTGAGCGCCGGCTAGGCCTGGTCATGGAGATTGCCCGCACCTCCATGATCCACGCCCGCACGCCCCATTTTCTGTGGCCCTACGCGGCTTGGTACGCCGCTCACCAGCTGAACCTCTGGCCTCGCGTCTCTCGGTCAGGGGCTTCACCGACCAGTCTTTGGACAGGGTCCCCTGGTGTTGCGTCGAGGTTTAGTGTCTGGGGCTGCTTGGCACTTGTCCGCGACACCTCTGCGGACAAGCTCTCACCTCGCGGCGTCCCCTGTGTCTTCCTTGGTTTCCCTGAGGCCTCCTCTGACTTCACCTTTTACCACCCTCCCTCCCACCGGTTCTTTGACTCTCGTGACGTCAGTTTCGACGAGTCCGTCCCCTACTTCGTCCGGTACCCCTGTCGAGGTCTCCCGGTTCCCCCCCCTCCCCTCTTCCTCGCCCCAGCTCCTCCTCCTCCCGCTCCCTCTCCTCCGGTACCCCCCCTGGTTCCCGCTCCGTCAGGTGTGTCGCAGGCTACCCCCCCTACCTTGGTCCCCCCCCAGGTCTCTCCTCCTTCTCCACAGTCGTCCTCACAGCCTCCGCAGCAGCCGTCGGCGCTTCCTCTCCCGGCCACTGCGGACTCTGAGGGTGTTGGTGCTCGAGGTGAGGGCTCTGGCAGTGCTGGTTCTGGGGGTGTTGGAGTTGGAGCTGAGCGTGCACCTGCCGCAGCTGCACGTCCCGAGCGTGTT